AGGCGTCCTTTAAATCTAATACAGTATACCAGATTCTGGTGGGCACCAGGGAACTCAAGAGAGTGTACGGATTGGGGACAGTTGCGTGTATGTCCATGACTCTTTTATTTACTTCCTCGAGGTCTTGCACCGGTCGGTAATCATTTGTGTGAGGCTTCTTGACCGGCAGTAGGGGGGTGTTCCAGGCAGATTGTCAGGGAACCAGCACCCCTAGACTCCGCAGTCTCTAGATGTGTAGCTGAATTCCCTCCCAGGCCTCCTGAGACATGGGGTACTGTTTGATCCTTACCGGACCTTCTCCTGGTTTTAGCTCCACTAGGACTGGGGTCCTGTGAGCAGCTAGTCCTACCCCTCCTGTCTCTGCCCAGGCTGTGGGGAATTCTCGTAGCCATCTATCCATGTTATCCCCCCTTGGGAGTGCCTCCTGGTGGAGGCGGTACTCATCCAGAGTCAGAACGTGGATGGGGTGGCCCTCGCCATCGGTGACCTGAGGCCCCCCTTGTCTGAAAGTTATCTGAGCTCCAATCTTGGTCAGTAAGTCCCGTCCTAACAGTGGGTAGGGGCATTCTGGTATTACCATGAAGGAGTGGGTTACCCGGCCCATCCCTAAATCCACTGTTCTTCGGGTAGTCCATGAATACTGGTTCATACCAGTTGCCCCTTGCACCCAGGACTTTTTGCTAGTTAGTTTTCCTTGTGGAGTGCAAAGGACCGAATGCTGCGCTCTGGTGTCAACAAGGAAGTCCACAGGGGTCTCCTCCACTCTAAGAGTTACCCTGGGCTTGGGGAGGGGGTCTGAATCCTGGCTCCCCTAAACACTTAGTTCATCAAGCCCCAAGACCTTTACTCGGTCTGTCTTGCTCCCCTTCCCACTGCCTCTCTTAGGACATTCTTGAGCCCAATGCCCTATCTTCTTGCAGTATGCACATTGATCCTTCTACAGTTTCCACTTCCCTTCCCCAGAGGTCTCCTTACCCTTCTTTTGATTGTTTGCAAGCTGTTGGAGGCGGAGGTCCCGTTTCTCAGGGGAGTCCATAGTGGTGGCCCACAGGATCCTAGCCAGGTCTCGGGTCTGCCTGCGAGCCTGTTTATCTTCAGGGGGCTCCCAGTTATTGTACACCTTTTCAGCCACCACCAGCAAGTCCTGCAGACTCTTCTCTCCCAGTCTATCTATTCTTTGCAATTTTCTCCTAATGTCTGCAGCAGATTGGTTTACAAAGGCTACAATAACAGCTGCCTTACTCTCAGGAGCCTCTGGATTCATGGGGCAAAAGGCCAGTAGTGATGGGGCTGATTGCCCCTCTCATCTGGGGGACCAGTGGCTTGCAGGGGTAAAGTCTTAACAGGTGCGGAATGCCTCCATGATCCGCTCTAAAAAGGCTGCTGGAGATTCATATTTCTCCTGCTGTATACTCCCTACCTTAGCCAGATTAGTCGGCTTTCTAGCAGCCGCCCGGAGACCCCCCATTAGAACCTGGCGGTAGACCCGGAGCCTCTCCTTACCTTCTGCTGTGCTGACATCCCATTCAGGCCTAGTCAGAGGAAAAGAAGTATCTATCTGAGCCTGGTTGGTGGTAGGATTCCCATCCACGCCTGGAACCAGCTTCCGGGCCTCATTAAGGATCCTCTCCCTCTCCTCGGTGGTGAACAGGACCTGCAAGAGCTGCTGGCAGTCGTCCCAGGTTGGCTGATGGGTAAAAATGATAGAATCCAACAGATTAATAAGTCCTGCTGGCTTCTCAGAAAACTCAGGATTTTGAGCTTTCCAATGATAAAGGTCACTAGTGGCAAAAGGTCAGTAGTGATGGGGCTGATCGCCCCTCTCATCTGGGGGACCAGTGGCTTGCAGGGGTAAAGTCTTAACAGTGGAGTCTGCGACGAAGGCGGATTGTTCCCTCTGGGCTCTTTGTCTGGTATGGGCAGGCTTCCCGCTCTCCTCGTGGCGTCTGTTCCCCTTAATGGGGAAGGGTCAGGTCCCTCCTCCAGCACCCTAGGGAACTGATATGGGGGAGGAAAAATTAATTCTTCTTCAGTTCCCCCCTGCAAGACAGAGTAGGGGGGAGCTGATGGCAGGGTGATTTTCTTCTCTGTCCTCTCCATTCCCTGTAAGGCAAAAATAGGTTCTGGCTCCGAGGGGCGCGGAGCCACGGAGGGCTTAAGCCAAAAGGGTGGGATCTCCACAAGGTCCTGCACATTATAGTGTATGGGAGCTGATCGGAGTAACCTGTCTTGGGATGAGAGACGACACTCCGAACCCGGCGAATGGTAGGGAGATTGAATGTTCCCTCTGGTGGCCATCCGACATTGAAAGCTGGCCACTCACTTGAACAACAAGCCTGCCATTCGTTCTTCCAGACCTCCATACTAAAATCGTTAGCTCTTTCTTCTACTTCCTGAAAATGATTAATCACATGCTTAAAGGAGTAATCTGAGTCTGTCCCATAACATCCATACAGTGAGTCCATAAAATAACATAAAATTACAACAGCCACCAGGAGAAGAACTCCCCACATCAACATTTTCAGTATTATAACAATTCAATACATTCAGTTAGTTTTATAGCAAATTTACAAACAAGAGCAAACTGAAACCTTTTCCTATACAAACACACATACAAACAAACAAACAAACAAACAAACAAAGAACACAGGAACAGACGGGGGGGCCCCCCAAGAACAGCCTTCCAACTCTGTGGAAGCGGCACCTAAAACTAAACGACGGCCTCACGCCTACTACCTCGCCCTGAGAGGGAATTCTATGTCCCTCCTAAAGGAGGATCAAAACGTCTTTTGATCTCTCCGGCCCATGGCCTTCAATAGCGCGTCTGCTAGACCTCTCGGGCACTTCCCACAGGGATCCCTTCACACACTTTTACCGCGACCAGACCGGCTCTCCGGATTCAGAGTCCCTCAGTCTTGGAGATCGCGGACAAGGCCCCCATCTGTAATGCCCAAGTGTCATAAACCCCAAAGACTACTAGGGAGCCGAATTCGATGCAATTGCAGAAAGCCTGTATTTATTTCCGACTAGTCCGAGCTCAGTCCCACTTACACCAACGAGGGCATGGCGAGAAAGAGAAAGAACTTAACATATCAATGGGTTTTATAGGGAGGGTGGTGCTGCTACCTTGGCTGACCTGATTGGTTGGGTTAGGCCTAGGGTCCAGTTATCTGGAGCTGGACCCGCCCCACCCTGCCCTCTCACCTCACCTGCCCTCTCACCCCACCTGCTCTCTCACCCCGCCCTGCCCCCTCACCCCGCCCTACCCTCTCATCATAATTTATTTTTGTCCACTAAACCTGTCAAATTGTTTTATATAGGTGATTATGTTGTTTGGTATATAGATACTCCTAAATGTGGTATATTCATTATGGAATGTGAGTTTTAACATTATAGAGCATCCTTATTTGTCCAAAGAAATGCTGTTTTGGTTGAATATTTTGTTTTGAGGTTGCATATTCTACTTTCTTAGTAATTTCATTTTTTTGTGTGATAAATATTTGTCTATCATCTTATTTTTAACTTTTTGAATCACTGCATTTAAGGTGTGTCTTTTAAAAATAGATTAAAAAATATATATATTTTATTGATTTTTTTACAGAGAGGAAGGGAGAGAGATAGAGAGCTAGAAACGTCGGTGAAAGAGAAACATCGACCAACTGCCTCTTGCACACCCCCTACCGGGGATGTGCCTGCAACCAAGGTACATGCCCTTGACTGGAATCGAACCCGGGACCTTTCAGTCTGCAGACCGACGCTCTATCCACTGAGCCAAACCGGTTTCGGCCTTAAAAATAGATTTTTATTATTGAATTCAGAGAGGAAGGGAGAGAGAGAGAGAAAAAAAAATCAGTGATGGGTGAGAACCATTCATTGGCTGCCTCCTGCACACTGGGATTGAGCCTGAAGCATGTGCCCTGACTGGGAATTGAATCATGACCTCCTGGCTCATCAACCACTGAGCAACACAGACTGGGCTAAGGTGTGCCTTTTATATATAGCACAATATTCATTGATTCATAAGTCAGTTTGGAAATTTTTTAAATATTAAAGTTATGACCATATTGATATGATTATCAAATGTTAGCATGTAAAGGAATCTACTGAGGGGCTGGTTTATACACATATTGCTGGCCTTACTCTCAAAGTTTTTGATTTAGTAGGCTGAAATGAGGCCTGAGAATTTGCATTACTAACAAATCTGGATGGTTGTTTAGGTCTTGGGTTCACACTTTTTTGACTATTGATCTATAGTTAGTGTTTCAGAAGGGAAACTTTAAGCTATCCTGATTTTTGTTGTTGTTGTTAAGTAACATTTCTTCTGTCTGAATGCATGTAGTAATATTTTTCTTTAATAGTTTATGTCAAAAAATTTTTTAATCTCTGATAGTGTGTGTGTGTGTGTGTGTGTGTGTGCGTGTGGTAAGTGTTATCATTTTAGCAGTTCATTTTCTAAGTAGTAAATATTGACATTTTAAACTGTGTGACTGGTTTTGTATATTTAGTTTCTCATAAGCTCCTATATGAGACCTTTGCATTTTCTTTGAAAAGTATTTAGTAGTAGTAGTATTTTATATTTTTATTTTTAGGCCCTTTAGCAGAAAAAAATATATTGAAGAGGTAATGTTTGGTAAGGTAATGCTTGCTTTTCATTATTGTACTCTCTTCTATGTGAATAAATAATGCTTTTTTGAGATGAATTTAAATTTTATTTTCTAAACCTAAATTCAAAAATATAAAATCATATATGTAAATTATTTTGGGATCTCTTTTAATATAGATCTAAAAAATGAAAATATTTTGCTAAAACTAAGTTGTCTATGCAAGTTGTATTAAAATATTTCTATAAATATTAAAATGTTGTTATTTTGGATTATAGATTTATGTTTTAATAATTTGTATATTTTGGGATTGAAAATTGCAAGACTTGAATGAAATGTTTTATCATACATCGTGAAGAATTTTATTTTAAAATGTTTAATTGCAACTTTATTTTCCAGATTTTGGAATCTCTTTTTAAGGTATGTTCAAAATATGCAGTTTAAGTTTACTAAAATTAAATACAGAAATATATGTAAATGAAGTTTCTAAGGTTTGAGGTAGTAAAATTTTTTTAGTTGCTGCTATATATATTTAAAAATTTTATATTTCAATTGTATGCTTCACTAACCCTCTTCTGAGTCTTAGGATAAATGATGTTTGGCTCAGTACTAATTTTAGATATATGAAAATTCTCTCTTTTCACTCTCTCTCTTTCTCACACACATACACACACACTCACACACACAGACACACACACACATGCATACACACATACCCATTTATTTTACTGCAGAAATTTAACTTGTCAATAATTATTTGTTTTCTGTTCCTTTAAAAAAAAAAGTGGTTTCAGCGACAGGTCAATCAAATGGAAGAGGTAAGTAAAAAATTTCTTAATTGTTAATTAAATTAATATTTTATCTCATTTATAAACCAATTTGAAGTATAAGTTAAATTTTTTTGAGTAACCATTAATGATAATGTTGATTTACATAGAGAAATAATGATTGGATAGATACAAATGTCTCAGTGGTTTATGCACTACATTCCTGTATATATCTGGTATACTCCGAGTTTGGTACATTCTTTCATCTAAAATTGGACAATAGAAATTTTTAAAAAATATATTTTATTGATTTTTGTACAGAGAGAAAGGGAGAGAGATAGAGAGAAACATCAATGAGAGAGAGTCATCGATCAGCTGCCTCTTGCACACCCCCTACTGGGGATATGCCCGCAACTAAGGTACATGCCCTTGACCGGAATCGAACCTGGAGCCCTTCAGCCCCCAAGCGGATGCTCTATCCATTGAGCTCTATCCGGTCCCGGCTGGACAACAGAAATTTAATTATTATTCTTTCCCTAATTTATATAAAATAATAAGTGACTAGAGAAAACTTATCAAGTTAAAAATTATCCTCTATTTAAATAATCATGCATAATATATATGCTTACTATTAAATTATATATTTGTATTTTTAAAAATTTAATGTTATTTTAATGACTTTTTTTTTACTTTTTGATTTTCAGGTGCTTTAGTACCTTTTGGAAACTATTGGTGTCTGTTCTTAAGGGTTTTAAATTCTATTAAAATATTTTGGAAAAGACTTTATGTAATTTGTTTATATAGCAAAATGATTTCCAGGATAGCTTTAGTGATTCATGGAATTATTTTAGTTTTTCCTTGGATATGTTTGTGGCTCAGCCCAATTAAACACTCTTGAAGCCCAGACACTTTAAAGAGTATACTTTATTTATTTGGAATATAAATTAAATATTAAAGTTAGACATGGAATCCTAGCAGTTTTAATTTTTTTTTATTTTTTAATTTTTTAAATTATTTTACCTTTGGCCCCAAAGTAAACTTTTATGATCTTGCACTCTTTGCTTTAGATATGCTGACACTGGAAGAGTATTGGTAATTGTTCTTTGAGTATGGTAGATTGGTCATTATCTTTCCAGAGAAGTAGGATTGGGGTGAAGTTCACTATTTCCCCTCACCCTTTTATAAAATCGGTACTTCTTTGCAATTTGGGTAATGCAGCTTATCTTTTTTCTTCTTTTTTTGTATCAACCTTTTTTTATCCTATTTTTTTTTTTTTCATGCAGTTGTCTCACTCTCTTCTTTATACACTTTGTGTCAGTGTGTGAGACCCATCCTAAACTGGTTTCTCAGTTTCTTTACCTTCTTATCTCTGAAAATCTCTGTCCATCTTTATCTCTGGCCCCACTTTTGGTCACACTTTAGCAAGTGGTTTTCAACCTTTCTAATGCTGCGACCCTTTAATACAGTTCCTCATGTTATGGTAACCCCCAACCATAAAATTATTTTTATTGCTACTCCATAACTGTGATTTTGCTACTGTTAATGAATCATAATGTAAATATTAGTGTTTTCTGATGGTCTTAGGCAACCCTGCTACCGGACCCTGCTGCTATAGAGCCTAAAACCATCAGAGTTAGTAGTAGAAAATATTAGCATTTGACAACAAATTATTGTGTCTTTCCATAGTTTATCATAATAATAGTATTCTTAGAATGGATTTTGAGGAAGTTATTACTTTAAAATTTCTTGTAAATAATTTGAATTGCATTTAATGCTGCTACAATTGTTATTGCACTTGCTTAAAATTCTTAAATGTTAAAATAATAATAAGAATATTGGATTTGAGTTTTGACATATAAAAGTCAACACTTAGCTGTTATTATGTTGCTAGGTATTTGCCCATATCAGTATTTTGTAAAATATTTGTATTTGATTATAGCTATGGATAAGAATAATATAAAGTTATTTAGATACAATAAATGAAACAATGATATTTCTTTGAGGTAAGGGGACAAAATGTGTCATTTCCTAAATACTTTGTTAATTTTGTTGTTTTAGATAAGTAAAGATCAAAGTTTTTCAGAAAGAGAGTTTCCAGTACCTGATAAAGCAATCACTTTAAGCATTGCACAGATAGTTAAGCAAGTGCAAAAACTTGAAGAAATGAAAAATCGACTTAAAAGATCTACTAAACACCCCTCAAAAGTCTTGCTCTCTAAGCCCAAGTAAGTAAAATATGAGTTAATAGAATTAAAAACAAGAGTGGGTATTAAGTAGTAATGAATGTAAGATAACGTTTTAGATATACTATCTGTAGAACTAAGTCAAATCAGAAGGTCTAGTCAGTTTGTACCTATTTGAAAATTTTAATAGTTTGAATTGGTAGAAATTCAAACTATTTAATAGTTTAATAGTATTCAAACTATTTAATAGTATTCAAATTTAATAGTTTGAATAGAAAATTTCTTAGCAAATTTTAAGTATATAATACAATAATAGCATTATTAACTACTGATGTACATAAGATCTCTCAAATTTATTCAACTTATAACTGAAAGTTTCTATCCATTAAACAACATTTCTGAATTTCCCCAATGCCTCAATCCTTGGAAACCACTATTGTACTCTCTGGTTCTAAAAGTCTGACTTTTTCATGTTTCACATATAAGTGAGATCATTTACTTTCTCTGTCTGGCTTATTTCACTTAGCATAATATCCGCTGGGTTTATCCATGTTGTGACAAATAACAACATTTCCTTTTGTTTATGGATGAATAAATTTTATTGTATATATTTGCCACATTTCCTTATCCATTGTTAGGTTGTTTCCATATCTTGGCAGTTTTAATATTGCAGTAAACAAGATATCTCTTTGAAGATAGATTTTTTTTTTGGAAATGGGATTGCTGGATCTTATGGTGGTAGTTTAAAAAAAATGTTTTGAAACCTACTGTTATACAAAATGGTTATATCAATTTACATTATCAATAGCAGTGTATAAGTGTTCCCTGTCTCTACATTCTTTTTAAAAATATATATTTTATTGATTTTTTTTTTACAGAGGGGAAGAGAGAGGGATAGAGAGTTAGAAACATCGATGAGAGAGAATCATCAATCAGGTGCCTCTTGCACACCCCCTACTGGGGATGTGCCCACAACCAAGGTACATGCCCTTGACTGGAATTGAACCTGTGACCTTTCAGTCCACAGGCTGATGCTCTATCCACTGAGCCAAACCAGTCTCAGCTGTCTCTACATTCTTACCAACACTTATCTATTGTCTTTTTGATAATAGTCACCCTCACAAGTATGAGGTGCTATCTCATTGTGGTTTTGATTTGTGTTTCCCTGATGATTAGTGATGTTGAGTACCTTTTTATGAATCTGTTGGCCATTTGTATATCTTCTGTAGAAAATGTCTATTCATTTGTCTATCTCTTTGCGATTTTAAAATTTGGGTCATTTAGTTTTTGCTATTGATTTGTATGAGCTGCTCATATATTTTGGATATTAATTTCTTATTAGGTATATAGTTTACAGATATTTTCTCCTTTTCTGTAGCTTTCTTTTTCATTTTGTTGCTATTTCCTTCACAGTGCAGAAACTTTCATATTTGATGCAATTGTATTTGTTTATTTTTGCTCTTGTTGGCTGTGATTTTGGTTTAATAACCAAAGTATCATTGCCAATACCAATTTCAAGTAGTTTTCCTCCCATGTTTTCTTCTAGGAGTTTTATAAGTTCAGGTCTTACACTTAAGCCTTTAATCCATTATGAGTTCATTTTGTGTGTGGTGTAAGATGATGGTCCTATTTAAAATTCTTTTACCTATACATATTCTGTTTTCCCAGCACCATTTATTGAAGAGACTATCCTTTCCCCATTGTGTATCTTTGGCATCCTTGTCAAAGATGAATTGACTGCACGCATGAGGGCTATCTGTATGTATTTTTTATGCCAATACAACAATGCATTAATTACTATAATTTGAAATCAAGAAGTAAGATTCCTCCAGCTTTCTTGCTGTTCTTTTTAAAACACTTTTTTTTTTTTTTAAGTTTTCTGAAGAATTGGCTGTTCAGGCTCTTTTATGGTTCCATATGAATTTTAAGATTCTTTCTCTTTTTAAAAAAACACTTAATTTTTATTGTTGACACTATTTCAGATGTCCTCATTTTTCTCTCCTTTGCTCAGCTCTACCCATCCTCTGCTCCCCTCCCTCTGGCCATCACCACACTGTTGTCTGTGTCTGTGGGTTATACATATGTGTTTTTTGGCTATTCTTTTCACCTTCTTTCATCCAGTCCCCCACTTACCCTCCTTTCTATCAGCTATCAGTTCCATATATCCATTCCTCAGTTTCTATTTTGTCAGTTTATTTTGTTAGATCCCACTTATAAGTGAAATCATGTGAGATTTGTCTTTCTCTGACTGGCTTATTTCATTTAGCATAATAATCTACAGGTCCATTCATGCCATTACAAAAAGTAAGATATTCTTCTTTTCATAGCTACATAATATTCCATTGTATAAATGTCCCATAGCTTTTTTTATCCACTCATCTGCTGATAGATAACTTGGGCTGTTCCCAGATCTTGGCTATCGTAAATAAACCTGAAATGAGTATAAGAGTGCTTATATATTTTTGAATTGTTTTTTTTTTTTTTGATTCTTAGGATATATTCCTAGAGTTGGAATCACTGGGTCAAGAGGCAGTTCAATTTTTAATTTTTTGAAGAAACTCCATATTCTTTTCCACAGTGGCTATACCAGACTGCATTCTATTTCTGTGAAAAGTGCCATTGGAATTTTGATAGCGATTATATTGGATCTGTAGATCACTTGGGATAGTATGGACATTTTAACAATATTAATTATTTCATTCCATGGAATATTTTTCATTTATTTCTTTATTATTCTGTTATCTTTAATCACATTTGGTATAGTAATTTATCTAAGTAAAAATTGAAAATTATAAATAACTTATTTTGCATTAAACATATACCAAACCTTTTAATTTTATAGTGTTAAAATAGAAAGTATCTGTAATTGGGAAGGGTTACTATTTATTATGCAATTACTTTATTGATAGCTCCATTTATCACTGACTATCCTTAAGTGAATAAAGGGAGTGGTACATGATTTGGCTCCAATAGAAATTGCATAATAGAGCCTTGATTAAGAGGCTCAGATATATTCCATTGAGCTATCTATTGTGAGGCACAAAATTAGTTTCTAATCATATATTAATATTAATACCTGAAATATAATTATCTGATGTTTGCTAGGTATTTTCCTTGTAATTTTATATTTACCTTTGATCCTTACAAATGCTTTATGCAATAGGTACTCTAGTATTTTGCTTTTAATAGATGAAGAAACTAAAGCTCAGAGAGGCTAAGTAACTTAAGTACACAAGGTCACATAATAAATGGGTAAAATGTTTTGAGCAAAGTATTTTGACTTTAAACTTGTACTTTTAATGCATATACCATTACTAATAATTGACAAAAAAATTGTCTTGCTTCTACCCAATTCACTTTTGCTATTTTTGTTGTTAATATTGTTGGTATATTTATAGAATTTAAAAAATTACATAGTTTGACCTATTTATTTGCTAATCATTTACTTTATTGTCTGTGAATAAAAGTTAAAGAACATCTTAAATTTTATTTTACAAACTATATATATTCTAGTTCTTATTTAATAATCTTATTCTTTGATAATAAATATTTTATTTTTTGACATTTTAACAGGGAAATTGAAAGTCCACCAGAAGCAGTGCTAAGTTATGAAAATGTACAGCAGAAAATTGAAGGTGATCTTTTATATATGGTTGCCTTTATGAGGTTTCCCTAAATACATTAACTTTTTGAGATTTATAGTTTAAAAATTCATAGCCATAAAATTATATAATAGTAAATTTCAAAAGATGTTACTAGAGGAAAAGGAGGAGAGGTAGTAAAGGGTAAAGGGAGTCAAATATATGGAGATGGAAATAGTTTTGACTTTGTGTAAACAAGTAGTAAAATACACAGATGATGTATCATAAAATTGTACACTTAAAACCTGTAACATTTTATTAACCAATGTCACCTCAAAACATTAAAAAAATTTTTTTTTTGTTAATCCTCATCCAAGGATATTTTTCCATTGAGTTTTTAAAAGTGAGTGGAAGGGAGAGGGAGAGACAGAGAGAAACATCGATGAGAGAGAGACACATGAATTGGTTGCTTTCTGCATGCACCCTAACCAGGGCCAGGGAACCTGCAACCAAAGTATGTGCCCTTGACCAAAATTGAACCTTTCAGTCCGTGGGCTGACAATGCTCTATACCCTGAGCCAAACTGGCTAGGGCACCTCAATATATTTAATTAAAAAGATATTTAATAGTGAATTTGAAAAAATAGTTTTATATTTTCAATAAAAATTCTTACTATATTGCAAATTCTAGGAGTGTATAAAATGAATACAATTTGATTGTTGCTTCCATAAAACCCACAACTTCTTAGGGCACAAGCATATAATATTTTTTTAATGAAATGCATGATAATTGTTTATATCATATGCAGTGAGTCTATAGAAAGGAGTCAATTTGTTCAATTTGAGAGGAAGATTTAAGCAACCTTAAAACATGAATAACACTTAGTTAAATGAAGAAGGGAGCTATTTGGTACTTTAAGAAGATATAATATAAACAAACAGCATGAATGAGGAATTGCAACTGGAATGGTATTAGACTAGATTGCAAAGCAATAGTTAGAAATAATGTAGGAGAAAGCTTAGTCAGAGGGATTGAATGTTGTGCTAAGGACTATCTATTTATTTATTTAATTTGTTTTACATAGATAATAGGGACTTATTGAAGATTTTTTTCTGTAGGGAAGTGACCTTGTTGTATCGAGTCTAGTAATAATTAATGTCGTTTTTAAACATTCGTTTAAAATCTTGCTTGGCGTTGACTTGTATTGACATAACCTTCAAACATGTGGTATCTACAGAACGTGTGAAGTGCAATTAACAAGTTTTGCTTGAAAAAGTTTGTGTTTGGTTTGGTTTTTGTTGCAAAACTAGGGCTAAGAAGATGGCGGATGAAGAGCATATTCGGCACTGCATGCCTTACGAGATCCAATTAGGAAGAAAAGCAAGTGAGGCTGCAAAAAACATCTGTAGTGCTCTTAGTCAAGATGCAGTTAGCGCCAGAAAATGCCAGTGTTGGTTTGAGAAATTTCGCGAGGGAAATTTTTTGTTAGATGACAAGAGTGGTCGAGGCCGTGTGTCCAATTTTGATCAAGAAGCTCTTCAAGCTCTTTTGGTGCAAAATCCTCAAATTACCCAACAAGAGCTTGCGACAACTTTAAATTGTTCACAAAAAACAATTTCCAATCAATTGCGTGCACTTGGCAAAGTCCAAAAGTTTGGAAAATGGGTTCCTCATGAGTTGACCGACAACAACCATAATCAAAGAGTCACAATTTGCAGTTCGCTCCTCTCTCGTCAAAACCGTTTGCCATTTTTAGAGCAAATTGTTACCGGAGATGAAGAATGGGTGCTGTATGTTAATTTGAAAAGGCGGCCTCAATGGTTGGACAAAAATGAGGCTCCACAGCCCACGCCAAAACCTGACTTGCATGCGAAAAAAGTGATGTTGTGTGTTTGGTGGAATTTTAAAGGAATTCTTCATTATGAACTTTTACCATCTAACCAAACCATTAGAAGTGCAGTGTATAGTGCCCAATTGGAAAGGTTAGCTCAAGCTTTAAGAGAAAAAGAACCCGCGCTGATTAATCGGAAGGGCGTAATTCTTCACCACGATAATGCACGGCCGCATACTGCAAGAATCACTGCTGAAAAACTGGGCCAGTTGGAATGGGAAGTTCTCCCTCAACCTGCATATTCTCCTGATATTGCCCCTTCCGATTACCATTTGTTTCGTTCTTTGCAAAACTTTCTTCTTGGAAAAAAATTTAATAATGAAGAATGCCTCAAAAATGCATTGACCGAATTTTTTGCATCAAAATCACAAGAATTTTACAACAGAGGGATTAAAATGCTTCCTGAGCGTTGGGCACAAGTAGTAGAAAACAACGGCAACTATATTGTTGATTAAATTTTGTTGTATTGTTTAAATAAATTCGATTTAAAAAAGTATTAGAAAACGACATTAATTATTACTAGACCTAATATTTAATTTTAAATATTATTCTGGCTACATGGTAGAAGCTGGATTAAAGACCTGGGAATTGGAAAGAGAAGTTATTACTGTATCTTAAATGTGTAATAAGTGCCTATGTTGAAGCACAAGTGGAAAAGAAGGGTAATATTTGAGAAATATGTGCCTGGTAAAATAGACAAAACTTGGTGATTTATATGAAAGGAAGAGGGATTAGATGATGGTAACAATAAGAGAATATAAGATGAAAAACAAGTTATGTAAAAAAATAGTGATTTCACATCACTCAGTTATACATATTCTTTCAGATATTACCATTGTTACTCAATTGGAAGGATCTGCATGTTTTAGCTCTATTGTTTTTCTTAGAATATTTTCTTTTGAATTAATTATTAAAATAAAAAACTATAACATTTAAAGTCAATTGTATATATATATAATTTATATTTGAAATAACAAATTCATTGTTATTTCAGAATTTATAGGAAGTGCCTCAGCTGAAGACTTCAAGGAGGTTTCTGCAACTGAATCACGTAAGTTTCCATTCATTTAAGCATCAGTGTTATTAACCTCTATTGAGGGAATTGATTTCTATAATCCTATCTAATAAAGGAGTAATATGCAAATTAACCATCACTGCTACACCCACAAGCCACGCCCACCAGCCAATCAGAGCAAGTATGCAAATTAACCTCAATCAAGATGGCTGTGGCCACAGAGAGCAGAAGGGAGGCTTGGGTTTTCCTGGCAATGGAGTAAGCCAAGCTTTCCCCACATCCTGGCAGGCCCAGGCCTCCACTTAAGGGTATAGAGTTTCAATTATAGAAGGTAAATTAATTCCAACAAAAATGGAGGCAGCCACGGAGCTGGAAGAGCAAGAGGCTAAGGTTGCCCTGGGAGATGGAGGAAGCCAAGCTTCTGCATCCCTGGCCAGCTCAGGCCTTCACTCCAGGCTACAAAGTTTCAATTATAGAAGATACATAAATTCCAACAGAAATGGCTGCCATCAGGGAGTGAGCAGAAGGCTTGGCTCTGCTCCAGGCTACAAAGTTTCAATTGTAGACCTTCGCCCAGGCACCCCAAGCCCCAAGGTAATCCCCACCCTTATCCGGGGCACCCTTCAGGGCAAACCAGCTGGCCCCCACCCATGCACCAGGCCTCTATTCTATCTAATAAAAGAGTAACATGAAGATTGACCATCACTCTAACACACAAGATGGCTGCCTCCATGTGGTCAAAGATCCTGCCCCCATGTGGACACAAGATGGCCAGCAGGAGAGGGCTGTTGGGAGGGACCAGGCCTGCAAGGAAGGGCAGTTGGGGGCAATCAACCCTTCAGCGAAGGGCAGTTAGTGGTGACCAGGCTGGCAGAGGAGGGAAGTTGGGGGCAAACAGGCTGACAGGGGAACAGTTAGACATAAATCAGGCTGGTATGGGAGTGGTTAGGGAGTGATCAGGCTGGCAGTCAGAAGCTATTAGGGGCAATCAGGAAGGCAGGCAGGCAAGCAGTTGGGAGCCAGCAGTTCTGGATTGTGAGAGAGGGATTGGGCCTAAACAGGTAGTGGCATATCCCTCGAGGGGTCCCAGATTGGAGAAGGTGCAGGCTGGGCAGAGGGATACCCCTCCCTGCTCCGCACGAATTTTGTGCACTGAGCCTCTAGTTTCCTATAATTAGTAACAATTATTAAGTTACAGCATAGATTCCCCTTAATTTTAGAGTCATACAATCAAGCTGGTTATCAAGTAAGTATTGACATTTCTAGTTAAGGCTACATGTTACCAAAAATAGACTCATTTTTGAGGAGCACCATGTTATTACTGGGAATGGAGGATTTTAGTTGTGATGAGAGTATACTACTGACAAGTTGCAGGAGTGGCAGGCCTTTAAGATGGAGCAGTAATAAAATTAAGAGTTCATTTTTAGACTTTGTTATTATTAATTACAGATCATCTCGTAAACACTAATGCTACTGGTAGGTACTCAGCTGTAGTCACAGCTGCTAGAACTAGGATGTTAAAGTTCTGACAACTTGTCAACAGGAAGGAGACATTACCTTGGTTATGTCTTAATAATGGACAGAATTTTATAACAATCATGTAATATATACTATGGAATACAGTTTAGAAGTAGAAAATAAGAATTGATTAGAAAAAATTGATGAGAATCCTGTCCTCTTTCAACACTAGCTTTAAACCCTAATGTTTCCATGTATAAAACAAAGATATACATTCTTCAGTACTGCCAGGTTCTATATAGACTTCTGCTCAATAGATTCTATCTAGGTGGGATAGAAAGGTATCTAGAGCTTTGGAGTGGTTAGTGAAAGCCTTTCTCTACATCAGACTCTCTACACATCTATGGAGCTCTCTTAACCTGTTAACTGGGGAGTTCCCTTTTTAATTACGCAACACACAACGGGTGCATACTCTTTCATTAGGACGTGTCAGTACGTCACACCCAGCAGACGTAATTTTATATTATTATTATTTTTATTTATACTTAATTAAAATAAATGAAATATATATATTTTTGTTTATTTATTTATAAAGCACAAAGGAAAATACAAAATTATAAACAAATAGCAAAGAATACCAACAAAAAAATGGAAACATCGAATTAAAAAATTATAAATTTTACAAACAATTATGAAGATTATAGCCGAAGTCGGTTTAGCTCAGCGGTAGAGCATCGGCCTGTGGACTGAAAGGTCCCAGGTTCGATTCCGGCCAAGGGCATGTGCATTGGTTGCGGGCACATCCCCGGTAGGGGGTGTGCAAGAGGCAGCTGGTTGAGGTTTCTCTCTCATCGATGTTTCTAGCTCTCTATCTCTCTCCCTTCCTCTCTGTAAGAAAATCAATAAAATATATTTTAAAAAAAGATTACAAAAAATATATACTGTCCCTCTCAGGGCGCAACATATATTTCAAGGACGTATTCATATGTCCTACCCGTTCCTGATAGTGTTTATGTTTGACGTATTTATAGGTCCCGCTCGGTTAACAGGTTTATCTGTGTGGCTTACTTCTCTCTGGTACTGTGCCCTATTACCGTATTTTTCGGACCATAAGACGCACTTTTTTTCCCCCAGAAGTGGGGGGAAAAAGTCCCTGCGTCTTATGGTCCAAATATAGCCTACACATATACTTAAAAAAAAAAGTTTTTTTACTTGCCCGGCTCTGTGTGGTCTCTGTGTGCTTGCCCGGCTCTAAAATGGTTCTAAATGCTGCTGTTTACTTTACAGGGTTGATTACATGTGTTTATGACTGTGATGTTGGGTTTTAATGCACATAAAATATTTTAGGACACTATTTGTTTCAGAATCTTTTTTTCTTCATTTCCCTTCTCTAAAAACTGGTGCGTCTTATGGTCCGGAGCGTCTTATGGTCCGAAAAATACGGTAATTCTAGTTGCCAATACTCTAAACTTTTTCTTTGAACTCAAGGAAACTCTTTGGATTCTTTCTTATGCTGAGGCCTAGAAACACCAGACAATAAGCTGCCATGAATGTCTTAAGTCTTTTTCCTTTGTTTTTCTTTTTTTCCCCTCAGGGATATTGCCTTGCACTTTTTGTTCTCTAATGTCTGAACATTGCTGTTCCTTTATTTTTGTCCAGTTTTTCATCATTTAAAAGTGGAAAGATAATTCTGGACCGTGATGCTTTATTATGGTTTAAAATAGAAGTCAATGTGCCTTCTTATATGCCACTGGGACACATCCTCCAACAACAACAAAAGTCCCCCAAATACAGTGGAAATTCTTTTTTTTTTTTAATTTTAATTTTTATTTATTTTTATTTTATTGATTTTTTACAGAGAGGAAAGGAGAGGAACAGAGAGTTAGAAACATCGATGAGAGAGAATCATCCATCATCTGCCTCCGGCACACCTCCTACTGGGGATGTGCCTGCAACCCAGGTACATGCCCTTGACCGGAATCGAACCTGGGACCCTTCAGTCCACAGGCTGACGCTCTATCCACTGAGCCAAACCGGTCTTGGCTGTCCTTTTTTGAAAAAAATATTAAATTATTATCTGTGTACATATCTTACCATCCTCCCCCTCCCCCCATACATACCCTAAAATACAGGAGAAATTTTATGCATGACTTTTCAGGGAAGTACAGGATAGGGTTACATTTCACAATATGGTGTAAAACCTTTTACAGGTTCCTAAGTATCTTTTTTCTTGGAAAAGTCCTTGACCCCATTGGTATACATCTATTCTCTGTCCATATTGTTTCACCTGTATATGCTCTCTTCTTCTTTTTTTTTTTAAACTAGCCCCTTTTGGAAAAAAAGAAAAAATAACCAATGGGACTACATCAAACTAAAATGTCTCTACACAGCAAAGGAAACCATCAACAAAGTGAAAGGACAACCCAATTGATGGGAAAACATATACATGATGATACATCCGATGAGGGGTTAATGTCCAAAATTTATTAAAAATGCTCACATACACAAAATAATCCAATTAAAAAATAGGCAGAAGACATGAATAGAAACTTCTCCAAGGAGAACATACAGATGACCAATAGACATGTGAAAAGACATAGACATATAATTTGTATCTTTCTATTAGCTCAATGACACTAATAGAAAGATTCAAATTATAACCTCACACATGTCGGAATGCCCATCATTAGTAAATCCACAAATAAATAGTGTTGGTGAGCATGTGGAGAAGGGAAGTCCTTGTGCACACTGTTGGTGGGACTGTAGTATGGAGGTTCTTCAAATTTCTTTTGAGAGCCAAAAATTTTAAACTTAAATCTATTATAAATTGTGCTGCTATGAACACAGGGGTGCATATATCCTTTCTGATTAGGGATCACTGGGTCAAATGGGAGATCCACTTTTAGTTTTTTAAGGAAACTGCATATTGTTCTCCACAGTGGCTGAACTAGTGTGCATTCCCACCAGTAGTGCATGAGGGTTCCTTTTTTCTCCATATCCTCACCAGCACTTGTTTGTTGATTTGTTGATGATAACCATTTTGAGAGGTGTGAGATGGTACCACATTGTATCTATCTTAAGAATCTCAAAACAATAATTTGAAAGAATATATGCACTTCTGTGTACATTGCAGCATTATTTACAATTGCCAAACTATGGAAGCAACCCAAGTGCCCATCAATAGATGAGTGAAAAAAAAAGAAAAAAGAAAAAAGGTGTGGTATGGATATACCATGGTATGTTACTCAGTTATAAAAAGAATGAAATCTTACCATTTGTGACAGCATGGGTGAAATTATGCTCAGTAAGAGAAAGACAAATACCATACGACATCACTTGTATGCGGAATCTAAAGATCAAAGAACACTGAATCAAATTCAGAGAACAGACTGGTTGTTGCCATAAGGGGAGGAGTTTTAAGAGACCGAGTGAAAAGATAAAGGGATTAAGAAGTGTAAATTAGCAGTTATAGTCATGAGGATATAAAGTTCAGCATAAGGAATATAGTCAATAATATTGCAGTAACTATTGTATGTATGGTGCCAGGTAGTTACTGGAAATATTAGGAGGAATACTTT